TTATTGTTCGAGTTACTGAGTCTAAAAAATTCGAGTTACTGCGTCGTTCGGGGTTCGGCGGAAGGGAATAGCATATCTTTTCGATTTACTGAGGATTACGACTTAACAAGGTTCGAGTGATCAAGATTCTACTGTATAAATTAAAATTGTTTTATCATTTATGATTCATTTATTTTTTATAACGTTTACCAGCTGTAGAATTGCCGCTGCAACTGCCAGAATGGCCTCTGTTTGCGCCTTGGTGGCCTCAGTTGAGTTTGTGCAGGTGGCTAACACCTCCTGGGTTGATTTGGCTATTACTGACGTTCTCCGGGTTCTTTTTTGGGAGGTGCAGATGTGGCGATGTGGGGTCGCTATTGTTGTCAAAGTATGTTGAAACATGGAAGCCAAAAGAGTTGGGGTTTTGGTTTTTTCCTTCTTCGCCTTTACCTCCGGATTCTCTGGATCCTCCAGAGGGACCTCCTCGTACAAAGGGGCCCCCTCAATTCCGGCAACTGCGGTCTTGCCACAGGTCGCAATTCCCCGCTCCTCCAGGGCCGTCATACTTATGGTAGTCGATGGGCCACCACCCGTAGCCTTCCGGTGTACTTCCATCCTGCGGAATTTATTTTGCGTGCAATATTTCCAATTACTGAAGCGTTTTTTCCACTCCTCACTCGTGAGCACTGGCCCATCGCCGCAGCTATTTAATTTCTTGCTGAGGTCCACCCAGCATTGATTAATATAATTTGGCGGCATGGTGGGGTTAACGTTGCCACTCCTAAACGCACAATCGCTCTCCATCATCGACAGATAAATTTCGTATTGTGCGTCCGAAGTGTTTATTGAACGTTTACGTTAACTGATAAATAGAGAATAAAGTGTTTATAGAATATAGAATAAAATTTTCTTGTACTTACAACATTTTAACTTGAGAATGTTTAAAAAGAAATTTTTCGCGAAAAAACTTCTGCGGAATTTGTGTAGTCAAGGTTGTGATTCAAGACTCACTGACCACTATAAATTAAAATTGTTTTATATATCATTCATTTATTTATTTCTTATAACGTCCGCCAGCTCTCAAATTGCCGCTGCAACTTCCAGCATGGCCTCTGTCTGCGCCTTGCCGACCTCTGTCTGCTCCTTGGTGGCCTCTGTCTGCTCCTTGGTGGCCTCTGTCTGCTCCTTGGTGGCCTCTGTCTGAGCCTTGGTTGCCTCTGTCTGCGCCTTGGTGGTGTCAGTAGAGTTAGTGCAGGTGGCTATCACCTCCTGGGTTGATATGGCCATCGCTGACGTCCTCCGGATACTTTTTTGGGGGGTGTCGATGTGGCGCTGTGGGGTCGTTATTGTTGGATGTAAAAGCATGGAAGCCAAAAGAGTTGGGGTTTTTGGCTCCTCCTCCGCCTTTGCCACCGGATCTTCCAGTGGAAACTTCTGTGGAATTTGTGTAGTCAGGGTTGTGATTCAAGACTCACTGACCACTCTCCGTTTTTTTTTTATTCCAATTACCACCCCAAAAGTATAGATAAAAGTTGTAGGAGGAAGATAAACGTTGGAACCACGTGCATCGCAGATGTGAATTTTTTTTTATTTTGCCGTTAAGATAAGTGGAATTATTGTTTCAAGAAGTATGTTTAGCATTGAAATCGCCAAGTACTACAGAATCTTGGGTTGAGAAAAATGATTCGTTAATGTCGGGTGGGTCTCGGGGCGGATTCGAGTAATTATATTTTCTACTGAAATGCTAATGGAATTTTGAGTATCCGATAATCTATCGAAGTGAATTTCTTTTTTGATGTAAATTGCTATGTTATTTTTATGAATCAGGGTGTAATTTACGATAATTTTCGATAATTTCGATTTATTTTCGTAAAAATTTTTTGTAAAATTGAGATATGGGCGGTTTTTGTGGCTTCTTGTACACATGCAATGTGTATTTTATTTTGTTCTAAAAAATGTCTAAAGAATTAGAATTATATTACTTTCATTTATGAATACGTAATTCATTGTATATTTTAAAAATATTTATTTATTAAATTTCTACGTGATTTTTTACTGGATTTTACAAGTTTATATAATGAGTTTCGCTCTGAGGGCATTTTCATAAACTTGAATTAAATTTGAATTTAATTATGAAGGGAACATGTATTCCAAATTGTTAATTTCAAGATACGGGTGGATTGACGATCCATAATGTTTCAAAATTGATATGGGTTTTTGTTGTTGTTGGGTGGCTGGGCGTGGTTGATTGTTGGATTAGTAGAGGTTGTTTTTGGTTTAGGTTTAAGTGACGGGAAGTTATGTTCGTTAGTGTTAAAGTATGGTTTGTCAGCAACTTTAATGTTTTTATCGTTCACATACCTTACATATGCTGGGCATCCGGTGTAGTTCGCCGGATGGGGTCCGTTGCAGTAGGTGCACTGAGGTGGTGCATCGGGATGTTTGTCGCACTCGTGTGTAAAGTAGTTTTGGTGCAACGCACCTCGGCGCGCTATGGCAGTTCTCGGTACCATAGTCGAACTCCTGGCACTTCCGTGTGCGCGCCGTCGATATTGTTGATTTTCTTGATGTCGATGCGGCCGTAAGTTGTAAAAGAGATGACCTGCTATCTGTATCTTTCTTGCTTTGCAGAATTGTGCCAGCAGTTTGTTGTTGTCTTGCTCGTTTTTTGCAATTATTTTTGTACGGTTTCCATAGAAAATGATTGGAACCGTAGATGTAGTGGCGGTAATTTTTCGGTGAAACTGCTTGTTATCGACAATCTAGAATTTGATTATTATGGGCGGCGTGTTGGTGTTGTTGTGGTTGCGGGTGGCTGCGGTTTCATCGATGCCAATGTTAGATGTATTATGTCTATTATGAATATGATGAATTTGAAAATCGTCTATTCAAAAGTGAGTTCGATTTATCATTATTTAACATTGATTGTTATGATTTAGGTATGTTAGAGAGGATAAAAAATACTTTGGTGAATTGATTACACACACATTACAATATAATTAAGCATTTATATTGATCATTTTTAAAATGTAATTGTATTATTTATAAATTTTTAAAATAACTTGATGCGTTTTACACTTGGCTTACATTTTAACATTTTATCATATCTTTGCAATCCTTTTTAACTTTATTTTCATAATACAGCAATAGTTCACGTAAACCAATTAGGGGCGATAGGATACATTCATTATTCTTTTCAAACTTTTCCATTAGTAAATTCACATTTTGAATAATTGTCAGATCTTTCTTGAAATTTATAAAATATATTTAATAAAATAATTTGTGATTTTCTTGGATTTTACAATTTTGTTTGCGAGTTTTACATATTTCGCCCTGTGGGCATCATCAGAAACTGTGTTCAGAAATGAAATTGTATGCGATATTGTTAATAAAATTGTGATAAAATATCGAAAATTGCAATTCTTGATATTTTCATCGTTAAAGAAACAATTTTGTTAATTTTTATTAACATAGCAAAATCAAGCGGGTTTATTTGAATTGATGCGTTGGTGTATAAACTTGTATTAGTAAATTCAGCTGCGATTGTGATAATACAGATCAAGCTTAATAGTAAGGCGTGTTGGGCTGGTTTCCGATGCTGAGACAAT